AATGGCTGGAGCTGAGCTGATCCGAAGCCAGGAGCCAGGAGCTTCTTCCTGGTCTCCCTGTGGGTGCAGGGGCCCAAGGACTTGGGCCACCTTCTACTGCTTTCCCAGGCCACAGCAGAGAGCTGGACTGGAAGTGGAGCAGCTGAGACTCAAACCAGAGTCCATATGGGTTGCCGGCACTGCAGGTGGCAGCTTTACCTACTAAGCCAAAGCACGGGCCCCGAGAATTGATTATTTTTTACAACTCTTGTCTCTACTGTTGTGGAACAGGGCTTTTTTTCTTTCCTTTTGTTGAATTCCTTACTGATGGGGGTTCATCTTATGACCATAAAATAAACTGTAAGTATATCACTGTAAAGCAAAAGAAAGGCAGGAGGGAGGGTAGGGTGGGAAGTATCACTTTGCTCCTAAATCTTTATATATGAAATACATGAAATTTGTTCACCTTAAATAAATTTAAAAATTGTTTAAAACTTAAGTTAGAGGCCGGCGCCGCGGCTCAATAGGCTAATCCTCCGCCTGCGGTGCCGGCACACTGGGTTCTAGTCCTGGTCGGGGCGCCGGATTCTGTCCCGGTCGCTCCTCTTCCAGTCCAGCTCTCTGCTGTGGCCAGGGAGTGCAGTGGAAGATGGCCCAGGTGCTTGGGCCCTGCACCCGCATGGGAGACCAGGATAAGTACCTGGCTCCTGGCTTCGGATCAGCACGATGCGCCGGCTGCAGCGTGCCGGCCGCGACGGCCATTGGAGGGTGAACCAACGGCAAAAGGAAGACTTTTCTCTCTGTCTCTCTCCTCTCACTGTCCACTCTGCCTGTCAAGAAGACAAGAAAGAAAGAAAACAGCAAAACCACAAACTTAAGTTCGAATGGAGGCAGGACTCAACCCCAGGCGCTCTGATAAGGGAGGCAGGTGTCCCAAATGCCCGTCCCGTTTGACGCTACATGGCGGCGTTCCTTGCGAAGCAGCAGCACCTGCTAGAGGAATGAGTGCACCACTGGGTGTTCAGCAGGCGTTTCCAGGAAAATGCTTCTGAGGTTCCCCTCCGGCTCTCGCCGCACGGCCCCACATGCGAGGACCTCGTCTGTGCCGCTGTGGCCTTGGCTCTGAAGCACCCTGGACATGAGCACCCAGTCACCCCAGCTCTGCAGCAGCCCCGCCGGGTCTGTCTCTGATTTGGGACTGCACAGCCCCATGGGGTGCAGGCCTCCGAGTGAGAGGTTTTGGAAACCGTGATGGCCAGAGGAGAGAAGAATCACTGTGGGCAAGCTGCGGCACTGGCTGACTCATGTTTGGGGCAGACACTCATAGGCCCTCAGTGTTGCAACAGGAACCATGACATTCCACTCTGGCCTGCAGAAGTCCGAGGTACAGCCGTGTAATGGCTTATCTTCACCGTGGGCAGAGCCGGTGGGGAGGTGATTCAGTTGTTTGGGAAAGAGGCTGAGGTCTAAGTGGAGCGCTGAGAAGGTTGAGGACAGAGGCCTTGATCCTGGGGGGACATCGGACGGCCCCCTGCAGGGAGAGGCAGGCCCGGGGCCCTGCAGCAGGGGCACAGGGGTGAGGGAGCCTCAGGAGAAGAGCTCTCACCAGGGCCCAGGCCATGCATCCCTGCGCTCTGATTTCCAGGGCCCAGCTCTGATGCTGTCCCATCCCCCAGACTCTCCCTGGCTTCGACTGTGCACAGGGAAAGGCCCCGTGTCCCTGTCTGGGGTGACATGGTGACCGGGGGCAGGAGATGACCTGCAGGAGAGGATGGGACGACCCGGGGTGAGAGATGGGTCAGCCGGCGCCGGCGCTGGATGGTGCCCACGGGAGCACTTAGGGGAACGTCAGGGAAAGGGAGTCCTGATGTGCACAGTTCTTGGAGCCTCAAAGGCAGGCTGGAGACTCGGGGCCCACGGCGGTGGCATGTGCCGCACTGGCACTGCAAGCAAGGTGGCTGAGGGGGTCAGGGCTCCTCAGCTGCCTGCGTGTCCTCTGGCTAAGTGGTCCCCCACTCAGCACTGGGGTTCCAGGGAGGCCCCGTTTGCCCCGCCGACACCCAACCTCAACCTGGCCCAGCCCACTGTACTCACTACTAGGGTGCTTCACACAGCCCATGGGGAGCAGTTAAGATACCCGCACCCCATATTGCAGGGCCTGGGTTCGAGTCCTGGCTCCAGCTCCTGACTCGGGTTTCCACCAGTGCAGGCCCTGGGAGGCAGCAGCAATGGCTCAAGTGATTGGGTTCCTGCCACACCAGCGGAGGACTGGGTTGAAGTCCCAGCTCCTGGCTCTGGCACTGGCCTAGCCCCAGCCATTTGGGGCACTTGGGTAGTGAGCTGGCTGATGGGAGCTCACTTTCTCTCTCTGTTGCTTCCTCTATGTCTCTCATAGTTTTTGCAAAATGGAATTAAAAGGTAAGTTTATTTTGGTGTAAAAAATATTTAAACTCATGCATAGTTTTTTCCTAATATACAGTTCATGAATTTTGAAGAGTTCTTAGATGCATGCATTTCAAAATTGTATGCACAAAAAATAACTTAATTCTATATTTCCATGAATATTTTAAAAATATCTGTTTGTTTGAAAGGCAGAGGACAGAGAGCAGGAGAGACAGTGGCTCCTCCATCCATTGGTTCACTCCCCACATGGTCCCTTTCTAGCCAGGCCAAAGCCAGGAGCCAGGAACTCTATCTGGATCTTCCACATGGTGGCAGGGGGCCAAGGACTTGAGCCATCACCTGCTGCCCTCCCGGAAGCCGGACAGGAAGCAGGGCAGCTGGCACTGGAATCGGCACTCCAACAGGGGATGCTGGTGCCACAGGCTGCATCTAAACCCACGGCCACCACACCAGCCCCAAACTTGATGAAGTACCCTCGTCCCTTCTGCCTATTCTCCATGGCTCCTGCTGGTCCCACAGTCAAGTCTGGGCGGGAGGGAGAGGATGCGGCTTACCAGGCAGTCACGTAAATTGCACGGACGTCAGCACTGTGATGTGCTGGGCTGACGGGAAGAAGCAGGGAGGAGAGTGGTCCCTTTCTCCTCGGGGCAGGCAGACGCAGTCTCACTTCTGACCGGGCATCACACTGAAGTGGATTTGTTCAGATAAAGGCAGAGGAAGGAGAGAGCTTGCAGCCCGTCACGTGGAGGGGGCCCACGACTGGCCTAGTGCTCACCAGATTGGCCGTCTCACGTGTACACGGAGGAAAACTATGATTCCCAGCCTCCTTGTGGTTAGGCTGAGGCACAAGCCTGCATCTGGCCAACGGAGTGAGTAGCAGGAAGGTGTACCTCTCCCAGGCTAGGGCGTAAGCCCCGTGTGCTGCTTCCCCTACCGGTGTGGGTGGGAAGGGACGATCCCATGACGATGGAACGGTCTGCGATCAGTGCTGTCACCTGGGAAAAGCCTTGTAAGAAAGCAGCCTGGCGTTGAACTTGGCCTGAACAAGAGATCAACTGTGACTGTTGGAAGGCACTGTGCTTTGGGAGGTTTATCTGTTGCTGCGGTACCACCAGCCTTGCCTAAGTCGCTGTGGGAGGCCTAACACTGAGAAGTGGGATCTGAGAGTTGTCTTCAAGTACAGCACCCTCACGAGCCAGGTGGCTCCAGCAGCCACCACTAAGGCCAGTGGGTCAAGTGGCTCCTTAGAGGGACTTGAGCCTCCACCGCTGCCTCCCAAAGTGCATATCAGCAGGAAGCTGGAATCGGAAGTAAGCCAGGACTCAAATCCAGGCACTCCGATGTGGGACGCAGGCATCCCAGGCAGCATCTCCATGGGAACGTTCTGCCCAGCCCTGGATGACTTGTCTTGGCCATCAGGGAGGTAACCGTCACTGCTGGTTTTCATGGAGACTGAACTGTCCTTTGTGAGGCTTTTGCAGGGAGGCTTCGTGGACAGCTGGATGTAGGGACATTCTAACACTGACATCTGACGTGCAATGTAGCCATGTTTGCTGAGAGTCATTGAATTAGAGCAACTGGGATGGAAACCGCACCACTCCCCAGAGCGCTGGGCACCACTGAGACCTCTGGATGCATTCTAAGATCACCATCCCGCCCAAGAGGACTCCCAGGAAGGGAAGCAGCAGGACCCCCAGCCACACGAAGGGAGGTCTTCAGAGAAACCGTTGAGGCAGGAAGGTCAGATTCTAGTTGTTTCGGTTTTGCCATCCCAAGGAAACAGCAGATGGGGATGTAGTCTGTGCTGGAAACGTCTCCCCCTCTTGTCTGGCCAACCCACAGGCCAGTGTGTGTAAACAGGAAGATGAGCTGGGCTCTCCTCTTGCTAAGCAACCTTGGTGAACAAGAAAGGAATCCTAACGGCTTCTGCCACCTCAGCCCCAGCCAGATGGGCCTTTTCTCCCCCCATCCCTCAGGAGAGAGAGTCATCATCCCCATAACGTCCTTCCTCAGTCTGTTTGGAAGAAGGACCCCTTCTTCCGGAACATTCCAGGACATCAGGAGCCTCACCCAGAGTGGGATTAAGTGGCCAAAACCAAATTTACATTTTGATAGGATGCGGTTAATCCTTAGCCATAAACACAGAGTCCGCCACTATCGGGAAGATGTTCCTGCCTCAAGAGCCCAGGCAGCAAACGCTGGCTTCCCCCAGACAAGCCCGGTCATCGAGCCTCCACGGAGACGGAGTCAACAGGCCCTTCTGCTTGGGGAACGTCCTCTGGTCTGACCCAGCTCTCCTTGGCTGTGGGGAGCAGCCACGTGGCCAAGGACAGTGGGCGCGGTGAGGCTCTGACCTCAAAAGGGAGGTGGCCAGCTGAAGCCCCAGAGTGCATTTGCAACTTCATGCTGAAGAACTGACATTGTGAATTGCAAGAGGAAGGGAGAAGGACCCACGTCACCTGGGGGCTCTGTCCTTGGCCACTTAGTGGACGATCAAGGGCAAATCTCCCAGAAGGTCACTCTCAGGGCCTTCTGACTCCTCTCTGTGTTTCCAGGACCTCAGGATTCCCCTGTGCCAGAAGAACCCCTCACCCATAAAGACTGCAGCACACACCTGCTGTGGCTGGGTGCTTTATTTGCAGACTGAAGAATGCTACATACAATCCACTGCACGGTCCAACACAAGTATACTTGGAGTAGAAATGACAATACAAAAATACCACTCTTGCCAGTAGATGGAACTGCCCACAGCTCATCCCAGTCCAGACCCCAGGAACACTGGTGTTTAAGGTCAAAACAAGAGGAACTATTGTAGAATGAGGAGGCACAGAGCGTCCAACCCATGCTATTGCTCCCATAAGATCCTGGGCTGGAGCTGGGTGGGCTTTTGGTTGTGTGGCCATTTCTGCCATCTTCAGACCCAGTCACTTTCTCCTCCAGAGAGGGAAGAGAAGTTTGTTCGGTCATTGGAGGCCCTCGGTGAGGAGCTGGGACAGGGGCTGCCCCATCAGAGCCAGGTGGAGCCCTGGGCCACAGACCCACTCTTTCCTGGGGCACATTTAGGCTGGACCTGCTCCCCAGGACACTACTGATGGGAAAGCTGAGACACAGGGAAAAGACTCCACCCCTTGGAAGACAAGGAGAGGGGGGAAGGGAGGTTAAGAAAGGGGTTCTCTGCCTGGTTCTTCCTTCAGCAGGTTCTAGAATGTTCTGCAGATGCCAGTATCCACGTCCTGCACCTTGCCCCTCCCCAGGACTAAGCCCTCTTCACCTCTTGGTTCTGAGGGAGCTGAATCCCAGAGCTTTGAGGGCATGCCCAGGGAAGTCGGAGGTGGCCCCTGCCCGCTGCCCGGGGAGTCCACAGGGCTAGCGTTTCTGCCAAGGCGGCAGGTCTCCTGAAGTGGCAGGCAGCTCCGCCAGCCAGCGGGGTGGTCATCAGGCATTGAACAAGTAGGATGAGGCTGAAGGACCCCACAGATGCCTCCCTGCTGCTCTCTAGAGCCTTTCGCGAGGCAGGCACCCCGGGAGCAGGAAGCCAACCTGAAAATCGAACAGGAGAAACCTGTGTGTTTGGGGCACGGGAGGGATTCCCCAGCCAGCTGAGACTGCGAGTTGCAGGGGAGATGAACTCCAAACTCGACCTTCTAGGATGGAACAAGAGGTAGTGGTCAGGCCCTGGGCCGCATACTAGTGGACCCCATAGTCACTCTCCAGGGAGGTGGGGTGGCAGGTCGGGCAGAGGACCAGGGATGCAGAACAGGGGCAGGGTGGGCCAGCGCCTCGCTTCCCCTGGCCACAGGAGCAAGCTACAGGAGAATGCGCCCTTGGACTGCGAGACACCAGAGCAGGCATCAGCGCTGTTGGTCTGGTTGCATCTGAGGACTCTAGGAGAATACTGTGCCAGATACTCCCTGGTGTGTGTGGCAGAGGGACAGAGCAGGGACATTGCCAGTGGCACATGGCCCTGGCCTCAGTGTCTCGGAATACCATGTCATGAAGACTCTGGCATTTTTAAAATATTTATTTATTTTGATTTTATTTGAAAGGCAGAGAGAGACAGAGACCAATCGAGACCTCCCATCTGCTGGTTCACTCCCCAAATGCCCACAAGAGCCAGGGCTGGGCCAGGCCAAAGCCAGGAGCCCAGAGCTCAGCCTGCGTCTCCCACATGAGTGGCAGGAACCCAAGTACTTGAGCCACCGCACTGTCTCCCAGGGTGCACATTAGCAGCAAGATAGAAGCAACGCCGGGACTGGAACCCAGGCGCTCCAACATGGGCCGCAGGCGTCCCAAGCAGCGGCTTAACCCTGCACCAAACGCCTGCCCTGCCCCTGGCGCTTGAACCGTGAACTAAGCCACCTCTCTCCCTGCTCCCCATTGCCTAGGCCTGGCTCCTGGGCAGATGGATAAAAGCTCGTGGAAGGTGTCCATTGGCAAACTTGGTTAAAGACACAGGCTTCAGGCCCCAGTCCGGACTCCTTGGGCTTCAGTGCCGACTTTGTCCAGGACCCCACACATCCTCCTGGGGAGCCCAGTCACCACCTCTGCCTCTGACACTGTCACTCCCCATGTGCCTCCTCTCTCCTCGTCCCCACCCAATCTTCCCTACCCATCCTAGGGTGTGGCAGGGCTCATTTTAGCCACCCATGTCCCATCGTCAGGGGACAGCGACGCGTCTGGACAGGCATCATACATGACAGTAGCGGCCCTGGAGAGCCCTGGCAGGTGAGCACCCACAAACCCCCTCCCCTCCCCTGTCCTCACACTCGGCACTCCCAGCCCAGCTGCGCTCTGCAAACCTCCTGCTCACAGTCCCCCTCCCACAGCGCCCCCAGCCTGGCAGCAGAGGCCCCCACATACAACAGTCCTTCTGGGCTGAGCAGGCTGGAGCAGCCTCCAGGAGCCAAGGGCCCTTGCTGCAGCCCAGGTCCATCATGGGACCCCTCCCCCGCCCCATCCAGCAGAAAGAGGCCCCATGTACGGCGAAGCAGGAGGCAGCTGGGAGCAGGCTCAGGACCCAAGTCCCCCAGGCGTCCATGCTAGGCCAAACTGCCCAGGGGAGACCCCCCAACTCCGGGCGAGTTTGGGGTGTGGAAGGCTGGATGGAGCTTAGCCAGCAACTCGGGCTCCTCGCCCTGGGCCCCGCTTTTCCCAGAGATCTCAGGGGCACCCAGCGGGTAGGCGTCCCTGGCCCGGCCGGTCCTGGCGCAGGTGAGGAAAGCCAAGCAGGCTCCGCGGAGGCGGGCCAGGTCCCTGTGGGTGGTCTCGCTGACGAAGCAGTAGAGCACGGGGTCAGCGACGCAGTTGAAGCTGGTGAGGAGGAGGGAGAAGTGGTAGGCATTGAAGACGCCCTTGGCGAACTCGCAGCTGGCCTCCCAGACGCTGCGCACGACCAGCAGCACGTGGTAGGGCAGGAAGCAGGCCAGGAAGATGACCACGGTGCTGAGCACCAGCCGCTGGATCTGGTCCTTGCGGCTCTTCTGGGTGCCGTGGCTCCGGCGCACGGCACGCAGGATGCCCTGGTAGGACGCGAGCAGCAGGCAGATGGGGAAGAGGAAGCCTACCAGGAAGCGGTAGTAGTTGATGCCGCGCTGCCAGGCCTGGATGGGGTAGTGCTCGAAGCAGACGCGGTGCCGGTCCTCGTCCTCCACGACCTCCTGGTGCCTGAGGAAGAAGACGCTGGTCAGCAGCTCCTTGGCCCAGATGAGCACGCTGACGCCCACGGCCGCCTTCAGGGTGCGGAACTGGTGGAAGCGGAAGGGGTGGGCCACGGCCAGGTAGCGGTCGATGGAGATGCAGCAGAGGAAGCCCACGCTGATGTAGATGTTCTCGTAGAGCAGGATGCCGCACACCTGGCAGGACAGGTCGCCGTGCGCCCAGTGGTCGTGCTGCAGCACGTACTGCAGCCAGAAGGGCAGCGAGCAGATGTAGAAGAGGTCGGCCATGGTCAGGTTGCACAGGTACACGCCCAGCTCGTTCCGGGCCTTGATCTGCAGGTAGCCGAAGTAGAGGGACAGGCAGTTGGCTGGGAAGCCCACCACCAGCACCGTGATGTAGACCACCGGCGCCAGCGTCTGGTGGATGGTGTGGTCGATGGTGCAGCTCAGAGAGGAGTTGTCCGCGGTGATGTTCCCCATCTTTGGGCCTGGAGGGGCCTCCCCCTTCATGAGGTCAAGGGCAGGGCCAGCGCTCCGCTGCCATCTTGCTCAGACAAGGCGGTCCAAGGTGTGTCAACGGCTGTGCCTCACTGGGTGGGTGAGCCCCTGTCAATCAAAGGAGGGAAGGACTTTGGATGACAGTGGCTGCCGTGCGTACAGCACCTGCTGGGCGTGCCAGGCGCTGCTCTAAACGCTTTGGTCATTCACTCTAGAAGATCTACCTGCCAGCTAACCCCCATTCCACTAGAACATCTGTCTGGGCCACACATGGAGGCGCTGCGCTCTGGCTGGGGTCTCCCCATCGCTCTTCCCTGGCTTCCCTTACTAACTCCTGTCCCTGTTTGTTTCCCTGGCCCTCAGTGCAGCCAGCAAGGCCAGGATTCTGAGGAGCATGAACCCGTCCTACGCCCAGCTCCTCCATGGGAGGCTCGGGGCAAAGACCGGTTCCAACCCCGCACAACAGCGAGGGCACCAGCCACCCTCGTCTGCAGCAGTAAGCACCAGTCCCATTTTCCCCCTTGTTCACAGGACACTGGGGCCACAGCAGCAGGAGAGGCCCAACCATGCTCGTGGCCTACAGTGTTCCAGCAAGAAACATGAAAGCCAAGCTTCCGGCCGGCGCCGCGGCTCACTAGGCTAATCCTCCGCCTTGTGGGGCCAGCACACCGGGTTCTAGTCCCGGTCGGGGCGCTGGATTCTGTCCCGGTTGCCCCTCTTCCAGGCCAGCTCTCTGCTATGGCCAGGGAGTGCAGTGGAGGATGGCCCAAGTGCTTGGGCCCTGCACCCCATGGGAGACCAGGAGAAGCACCTGGCTCCTGCCATCGGATCAGCGCAGTGCACCGGCTGCAGCATGCTAGCCGCGGCGGCCATTAGAGGGTGAACCAACGGCAAAAGAAGACCTTTCTCTCTGTCTCTCTCTCTCACTGTCCACTCTGCCTGTCAAAAAAAAAAAAAAAAAAGAAAGAAAGAAAGAAAGCCAAGCTTCCACCAGGTACCAGCCCATGGGCGCCTCCTCCCCGCCCCTCCATGGAGCCTGGACAGGGCTCTGCACCACGCTGTGCCAGTTGCCGACCTTGTCTGAGCCTCATTTTGCTCACCTGTACAATGGGGATAAACACACTGCAGGGGTCAGTCAGGGCAGAGTCAACTGACAGATGTGCAAATGCACAGGATGAAGAGGGGGAGGAAGATGGAAATCTTGGCGTGGGCATGGAGCCTAGGCATTGAGGCACCAGTGTCCCCTAGGGGAGAGCCTGGGTTTCCAGCTCCAGCTCCCGGCTCCAGCTTCCCACTGAAGCAGACCCTGTGGGTTCCCGACAGCCGCGTGGGAGACCTGGAGGGAGTCCCATGGCAGGCACTGGGGAGTGCAGCAGAGGATGGGTGCTCTCTCTCCATCTATGTGCCTGTCGAATCGATCGATAAATAAAATAAAATCGTACTCAAATCAGTGAAAGGCCACTGTGGGGAGCAACCCGGACTAGACTAAGTTACTGGAATTAAGACTTATTCTATGCATCTGCTCTCCCACAATATGGTGCTGAGAAGGGAGAAACAGCTTCTACACAGCTGCCTCCAGTTCAACCAATAAACTGTAGGACCTGCTCCTGATTGGAGGAGAGCAGCGTACTCGGCGTGTGGGTAGCAGAGTTGGGATTGGTGGAAGAGGACTATAAAGGAGGAGAGAGACAACATGCACAAGGAACATCTATCTGAAGGAACACCTGTGCAGCCCCCGAGAGAGCCGGCCGGCGGTGTGCCGCTCCCCCGCGGAAGTGGGGAAAGTGGCAGGGGGAACCGCCCTTCCACGGAGGTGGAAGGGACGGTAGCCAACCCGGGAAGAACCAGCAGCAAACCCGGGGAGGGCCGAGCAGACGAAAGAACAACGCAGGGTCCTGTGTCGTTCCTCCACGAAGAGGGGGAGCGACAGGCCATATTGTTGAGAATTTAAGGAAGAAGGTTCCAGATACACAAATATGTTTGAGAGGAGAGAGAATGTTTTGCTTTCATCCCGCCTCCAGAACGAAAGGCGTGTGCTGCTCTAATACTTCTCTGCCGGGGAAAACGCCATTGTCCAAGCCAGTGTTCTTCTTTCCGAGCTTTTATCTGTTTTAATTTTATTTGAAAAGCAGAGACGCCAAGAGAAAGAGAGATCTTCCATCTGCTGGTTCACCCCCACCACCACCACCAAATTCCCGACACAGTGAGGACTGGGCCAGGCCTAAGCCAGGAGCCCAGGACTCTATCCAGGTCTCCCTGTGGGTGGCAGGGACCCAAGTTGTACGTTCTCCGGCGGCTGGATGGGAAGTGGAGGAGCTGGGACTGGAACCAGCACTCCAGTATGGGATACAGGCTCCCCAAGCAGCGGCTTCACTCCCTGCACTGCGCCCACCCAGATCCCACGCCCGCCTGGATCCCACGCTGTCAACCTCGGTTCTCTATCCTTTCCCCCAAGCACTCCCTTGACGACACACTGAGCACAGATCTGCTGCTTACCTGTTTTGTGCTGTGGTCCTTCCAAGGGGGCCAATCCCAGTGATTTCTCCCAAGCCTCGATTTCCCAGGAGACACAACGCCGCCGGGTCAGATTCACCTCCCTGGTCCTCGCACGGCTCTGGCCTGGAATCAGCGATGGTGGCGGAGGAGGGCACCTGTTGTCATCACGGTGAAAACACCTAACATAAAATGTCCGTGTCAGCCTTTTCCAGGCCAGGCCTGTGACAGGCAGTTCCCATTGCTGCTCAGCCATCCCCACCATGCACTAACAAGCAGAAGTCTTCCTCTTGCAGAGCTAAAGCCCTGCACCCACTGAACAGTGACTCCCCAGCCCCGTTCCCCTTTCTCTCCGGGGACCTCAGGTACGGGAAATCCTGCAGTGCGTGCCTAGTCTGTGCCTGCCTTAGCTCACTCAACATCATGGCTTCAAGGTGCAGATGTGCAGAATGTCCTGTGGGTTTTTTTAATATTGTATTTATTAATTTGAGGAGTTACAGACAGAGGAGAGAGAGAGAGAGAGAGAGAGAGAGAGAGAGAGAAAGGTCTTCCACCCACTGGTTCACTCCCCAGATGGCTGCAACGGTTGGAGCTGCACCGATCCAAAGCCAGGAGCCAGGAGCTTCCTCCAGGTCTCCCACGTGGGTGCAGGGGCCCAAGCACTTGGGCCATCCTCCACTGCTTTCCCAGGCCATAGCAGAGAGCTGGATTGGAAGAGGAACAGCCGGGACTAGAACCAGCACCCATATGGGATGCCGGCGCTGCAGGCGGAGAATTAACCTACTGTGCTACAGCGCCGGCCCCGTCCTGTGGTATTAAAGCTGAGCGAGGTTCCGTCACACGGGGGCCATCCTTTGTTTATCCACTCATTTCTCAGTGCACGCTTGGGTCATGTCGCCTTTTGGGCTGGTGCGTGTAATGCTGCCTCCAACGTAGACGTGCCGAGTACTGTTCAAGTGCCATCTTTCAGCTCTTGGAGGGGTACAAACATGCTTCGAAGAGTTTGTGGGAAACACTCCTTCTCTTAATTTCATTTCCCAGCAGCTGAAGTGCTCCAAGTCCGCAGAATTGGAACAGCCGGCTCGGGGGCAGCTCTGTTTCTGCCCTTCTCAGAACCACCACCCTTCACATCCCCACGGGGGAGCTCGTTTGTCCGTCTCTCCTTAGATGATTCGGTGATGAGACGAAGACAGGAAGGAGCAGCCGAGCCTGTGACCCCGAAATCTGCCCTCCACCTGGTGGGTCGGAACCGAGCCCCACTCACCTGCCTCTCGCCCGCCATCCCGACCCTGCATCCCAAGGACACACCTGTGCAGCCGAGGCTTTACCAGGCATGGTGACGGGGGCACCCACAGCAGCAGGAATCCCAGACAGTCCCCAGGGACGGCACCTGCCCCGCGCCGTTCCCGTCTCTGGATTCACCCGTGTGCTGCACGTCCACGTAAAGGCTCCCACAGGAAGTTGAAGCCCAGACACAAGCAGGGGCCCCTGGCTCCAGAGCGAGCAAAGCCACCTAGCAAACACGTCCTGTCAGGCTTCGGAAATCCCCCGAGAGCCACCAAGCCCAAGCCTGTTATTTGCCAGCGGTTGAAGGGACGGATGTGTGGGGTGGGGTGTGGCACCGGCTTGTAGCTTCCTCTTTCTTGGGCCCAGAGCAAAGCTAATTCTGGCAACGAAGTCAGAAATACCCGAGCTGGCAGGGCAGAGGGGAAACGCTGACTAGGTGGAGATGAGATGTACAGACCCCTACGTCCATTTGCCAGCAAAGAGAAGGTGCTGGGCTCCAGAGCAGCAATTCTTTCTTTTTTCTTTTCTTTTTTTTAAATTTATTTGACAGGTAGAGTTATAGAGAGTGAGAGAGAGACAGAGAGAAAGGTCTTCCTTCTGTTGGTTCACCCCCCAAATGGCCGCCACGGCTGGTGCACTGCACCGATCCGAAGCCAGGAGCCAGGTGCTTCTCCTGGTCTCCCATGCGGGTGCAGGGCCAAGGACTTGGGCCATCCTCCACTGCACTCCTGGGCCACAGCAAAGAGCTATACTAGAAGAGGAGCAACCGGGACAGAATCTGGCGCCCCAACTGGGACTAGAACCCGGGGTGCCAGCGCCGCAGGCGGAGGATTATCCTAGTGAGCCATGGCGCTGGCCAGCAATTCTTGAACTTGGTGCATCAGAATCCCCGGGGGATGGTCGAGACAGACAGCCGAGCCCCGTCCTCCTGAGCGTGGCACTCAGTGGGTCTGAGATGGGGCCCATGTCCAACAAGCTCCTGGGTGGGGTGGGTGCTGCTGGGCCGTGGACTGCACTGTGCATAGCAAGGCACAAGGAGGGTCTGCAGGGTCCAGGGTGCAGGCCCTGAGCATGTGTCCTGCACGTGTTCCCGAGGGAGGGAGCACAGGTGGCCACGGGGGCACCTGAGACCCAGCAGAGCGTCTGGACAGAGCCAGGGTGCCGCCCACAGACTGAATCAGGCTTTCGAGAAACAGTGACTGACCTCGTTCGAGGGCTCCCACCTTTGATCTGCAAAATACTTTTTGGGTTACAGAGCATTTCCTCTGTATTGTCCTCATTTACAGGCGGGACGCTGGGGTCCAGTGAGGGGAAGCAGCCTGCTCAGCGCTGGACAAGCCCTCCCAGGATGACCGCAACACTCCCAGCAGTGGGCACCAGAGGGAAACCAGGGTGGCCCCCAGACTGCCGTGTGCACAGGTGACCCCGTGGGCATCTCTCCCACACATTAGCTGTGGGTTTACTCTTCGCGCCCCATGCGCTCTGTGGGATGGCACCTCCTCCGCAGGTCCGTTCCCCTCTACGCTCTGATGACGCCCAGGCTGAAGCTGACATGAAGCTGGCGTGCTCCGTGAGGCCACGCTGGGCCCATCGCTCTCCACCACTCTGCTCTTGGAAGGGGCATCTGTCATCACGTTGGGTGGCTGACCTTCACCTTCCTCCCTCGTTGCCATCCACAGCACCCAGCTAATTCCCGATTCGGGTCATTTTCAACCCCTCCTAGGTATGCCCCACACCCAGCCCCTCCTCTTCAGCCCCCTCGCCAGCACCCTAGATGGACTTGACCAGGACGTTCTCCCCAGAAGTCAGTGTAACAGCCTCCTGCCGGGCTTCCTGTCTCATCTTGCTCCCCACAAAACCATCCCCTAAAACAGTGAACCAAGTCAGACCTTACTCCAGGCATGTCTACAGCCGTTTGCTCATCCAGCACCCATGCGGTCACCCATGTACCACCACTCCTTGAGAATCTGTTATGTGGAAGGAAGGGTTTCACTCCACACTGGCCCCTAGTGCCAAGTAGCTTTTAGTCGGATGGGGAGAGAAGGTAAGTGAAGCAATGCTACGGAGAGCCCAGGGTTTCCCGGGACTTCAGGGGGGTGACCCAGCCAGTCAGGAAGGGCCCTCCTGAGTGAGAGGCGTGATGCGAAGCCCAGAGGAGGAAGCGCCTCCCAGGCAGGGGAGTTTCTGCCTGTGGAAAATGTGTGCAGCAGGCAAAAAGGCATGAGGGGAGGATGGCACCTTTGGGGAACTGAAAGTAGCGCGGCGCGCCTGGGGCTGGGCGAGGGGGCCTGGCCAGACAGCAGCCAGCCAGAAGCTGCACGCACTGACAGTGATTAGACCTCATTCGAGGGCACAGCCAGAGACAAATCTGAGAGCTTCCTCAGAGCCTGGTCCTCAGGGGCTCCCAAAAGAAATACTTACTGGATGAATGGAAGGCTGGAGAAGTAGCTGGGGGGCAGATGAATAGATGAGGGGGTGTGTAAATGGATAGATGGGTGAGGAGCGTGTGGACAGATGAGTGGATGGATAGGTGGGTGAGTGGAGGGTGGGTGGGTGAGTGCATGG